TATTTGTTTCAGAGGTACAGATCTGTGATTCAACAGTCTTGCACAATTCACAGCACTCGCCATAGCACATACCCTCCCCAATGTCTATCACCCAGCCACCCCATCCCTCCCACCCCCCACCACTCCAGCAACCCTCAGTTTGTTTCCTGAGATTAAGAATTCCTCATATCAGTGAGGTCATATGATACATGTCTTTCTCTGATTGACTTATTTCACTCAGCATAACACCCTCCAATTCCAACCACGTCGTTGCAAATGGCAAGATCTCTTTCCTTTTGATGGCTGCATAATATTCCATTGTGTATATATACCACTTCTTCTTTATCCATTCATCTGTCGATGGACATCTTGGCTCTTTCCACAGTTTGGCTATTGTGGACATTGCTGCTATAAACATCGGGGTGCGCGTACCCCTTCGGATCCCTACATTTGTATCTTTGCGGTAAATACCCAGTAGTGCAATTGCTGAATTGTATGGTAGCTCTATTTTCAACTGTTTGAGGAACCTCCATACTGTTTTCCAGAGTGGTTGCACCAGCTTGCATTCCCACCAACAATGTAGGGGGGTTCCCCTTACTCTGCATCCCCACCAACATCTGTTGTTTCCTGACTTGTTAAGTTTAGCCATTCTGACGGGTGTGAGGTGGTATCTCCTTGAGATTTGGATTTGGATTTCCCTGATGCCGAGCAATGTTGAGCACTTTTTCATGTGTCTGTTGGCCATTTGGATGTCTTCTTTGGAAAAATGTCTGTTCATGTCTTCTGCCCATTTCTTGATTGGATTATTTGTTATTTGGGTGTTGAATTTGATAAGTTCTTTATAGATTTTGGATACTAGCCCTTTATCTGATATGTCATTTGCAAATATCTTCTCCCATTCTGTCAGTTGTCTTTTGGTTTTGTGGACACTTTCTTTTGCTGTGCAAAAGCTTTTTATCTTGATGAAATCCCAATAGTTCATTTTTGCCCTTGCTTTCCTTGCCTTTGGTGATGTTTCTAGGAAGAAGTTGCTGTTGCTGAGGTTGAAGAGGTTGCTGCCTGTGTTCTGATATGAGGAATTCTTAATCTCAGGAAACAAACTGAGGGTTGCTGGAATGGTGGGGGTTGGGAGGGATAGGCGGCTGGGTGATAGACATTGCAGAGGGTATGTGCTATGGTGAGCGCTGTGAATTGTGTAAGACTGTTGAATCACAGACCTGTACCTTTGAAACAAATAATACATTACATGTTTAAAAAAAAAAGAAGAAGAAGAAGATAGCAGGAGGGGAAGAATGAAGGGGGGGAAATCGGAGGGGGAGATGAACCATGAGAGACAATGGACTCTGAAAAACAAACTGAGGGTTCTAGGGGAAGGGGGTGGGAGGATGGGTTAGCCTGGTGATGGGTATTAAAGACGCGTTCTTCATGGAGCACTGGGTGTTATATGCAAATAATGAATCATGGAACACTACATCAAAAACTAGTGATGTAATGTATGGTGATATAACATAATAAAAAAATAAAGAAAAAAATAAAAATGGAACTATGTTCAGGCCCAGCTTTTACCAATATGCAGGGAGGGTGAAATTTACTTGTCTCCTCATTCCAGCTATTTTAATTCCAACAGGATTCCTCTCTCAGAGGTAGACTCAAGGTCAGCAGCCTTTAATTTTGTGCTGGCTTATAGAACTGAGGATGTATTGTTTCTTAGACAGTTCAGTGACTTGGGAAGAACCCACTGAAGTTTAAAAACTTGTTTGAACAATGAAAAAGCATACTCTTGTGCATGCTTCTAGAACTTCTCATCAGATGACTAGGATATGAAGATATAATGTGTGTCTACTACTTTTCTGTTTTGGACTCTGCACTAAATGAGTGAGTAAAAAGAAATGTTGAAGGAGATGTTGCTGAGAGGTAAGACAATGCAGAAATCTGGCACTTACTGCCCAGAGATGCTGCCTATTTCTGATTACAGAGGCCTCCATATCATGGAGTAAGACATTACCAAAGGAACTCAATTGCCATCTTTTTCTATCTTTTGAGGGACAATAGATTTTGTTCTATTTCAAAAGGATTGACATATGGTACATGCCTAAGAATGGGCATCCAATGGAATTTTATCCAGATATCAACACACAATCTTTCTCATGTTGAACTTACAGCAGTAGCTGCAATATTTTCAGTGTATATACATAGGTACATTGATTGAAACTTAATGGAATAGATATCAGGCACATTTAATAACCCAGGCAAAACCCATTTATAATTGCCAGTAAATTTTGAAAGCACTTCATCAAATTATATCTTTAGGGTTTGTATCTCTAACCAGAGTCCGGACTTAACTAAAATACAACGTGAACTTCAAATCTAGTATACTTTCTGTTATACCTCAGCTGCCATAAATTAATGAGTAATACCATTGTAAGCCAGTAAAAAATAATTCTAATGAAAGAAGAAATTTTGCACTCACAGCACCAATGGCTTTGCTATACTTGACTAACATTATCCGGAAAAATATTGATGGATACGAATAACCAGTTCCTGCCAATGCACAACAATGACCTCGTTATTGAAGGTGCTTACATATTGTGATATCAGAGAAAAGAAACTCTTAATCCCCAGAGTTTTCCAAGTTTGTTACTAAAGATCTCTTACTATAAACTCTTTCAACTAGGTTGGCATACCAAACCTTTTTGACTATTGCTAGAGATAAAATGAAAGCAGTAGTGTGCTCAGCATTCAGTTTTTATTCAAGACCCCCAAGATCTAAAGGAAAAGGGGTCCTTAAAAGAAAGTCATACATCCTCTAAAGCTGTATTCCTTTAAGTGGCCATATGCTACAATCTCATATATCAGAGACACTGTACTTTAATGACCATAAAGAGAAATGCCACCTTTTCTTCTCAATCCTTGGACTAGTGCTACTGAACTGTTTGACACATACTTTTACATACAATTTCAGGAGGTTCGTAAACCAACATTCCACCCCACAATTCTAACATGAATCAAGGTAATAGTTTCTGCCTAAGGTCTTTAAAAATAATACTAACATAAGTAGAGCAGTATACTGTATAGTATACTTATAGTATTTCCTGCCTAAGAAAATACAGCTGTTTTATGGCTTCTTTCTATTTTTATTTCTTGTTTCTTTTTTCTTTTTGTATTTTTGTAGCTAAAATCTATCTACTTTATTTTTTTATTTAAATTCCATTAGCCAACATATAGTACATCATTAGTTTTTGATGTAGTGTTCAATGATTCTTTGGTTGCATAAATACCCTGTGCTCCTCAGATCACATGCCCTCCTTAATGCCCCACCCCCCTCCCTTCTGCAACCCTGTTTGTTTCTTGGAGCCAAGAGTCTCTCATGGTTTGTCTCCTTCTCTGACTTCTTCCCATTCAGTTTTCCCTCCTTTCCCCTCTGGTCCTCTCTGCTATTCCTTATGTTCCACGTATGAGTGAAACAGTATACAATTGTTTCTCTGATTGACTTATTTCACTTAGCATAATACCCTCCAGTTCCATCCATATCAGTGCAAATGGTAGATATTCATCCTTTCTGATGACTCAGTAATATTTCATTGTGTATATGAACATCTTTATCCATTCATCTGTTGAAGGGCATCTCGGCTCCTTCCACAGTTTGGCTATTGCGGACACTGCTGCTATAAACAGTGGGGTGCAGGTGCCCCTTCTTTTCACTACATTTGTATCTTTGGGGTAAATACCCAGTAGTGCAATTGCTGGGTCATAGGGTAGCTCTATTTTTAACTTCTTGAGGAACCTCCATACAGTTTTCCAAAGTGGCTGTACCAGCTTGCATTCCCACCAAGCATCATTGTAGAAAGGTAATGAGAAGCAGAACTTAGGGCAAAGAAGGAGAAATCGGGTAAAAGCAGAAAAAGAAAACAGTAAACCGGTCTTTGAAAGGATGATGGTTGGGGAATTAATGAGTTATATTTGTGAGACAGTAAGTGATTGATTTTGGCACCTTTTAAACATTTGTCTACATCATAGAAACACAGTGAACTGAGAAAAGAATGAGAACCTTGAGAAAAATTCAAATATCATCCCAGGATCCTACTGAGCAAATCCTTAAGGAGAGCATGTTGTTATCAGTCTACTTCATCAACAGTGTACATAACAGGATATCTGTCTAACATTCTTTTAGGTAGCATTTAGCAATTTTAAAAATGCCTCAAGTTCTAGAATCTGTGTCAGAAAATACCCTGTTTTGCATTAGCATAGACTTCTCTCAAGGATGATGTTACTTAGAAATGGAAGATGTTCCGTGTTTTGAATACTTTATTTTACTCTTAGTTTCCTTTTGTAACTGTTATATTAAAGTTTTGAAGATTAGCTGAATAACTGTAAGTAACATAGCTAAAATATTTAAAAGAAATTTAGAAGTTTATTTTCCTATAAAGATAAGTCTCTGTGTAATTAATCATAGATTGAGGGGAAGAAAATCAACTTTGTTAATAAAATAAAAACAATACCACCATAAAAAAGTGTCCATAAGTGTTCCATTTTCCCCTTCTAGACACAGCTGACGATAAAGTTTATCCTCTGTCTTTTTCCCCTGAGGCCCTTTTAGATCAGCCACATTTACAGTATCCTGCATTTATTGTTAACAGCCTTTCAAGACCTACAAGGTGATGTTGAATATTATACACTTTTTTGGAGTTCTGCTACCTCAAATGAATCTCTCAAAATCCTCCCAGATGTAAACTCTCATGTCATCAGCCACTTAAATCCAAACACGGAGTATCAGATTTTTATCTCTGTCTTCAATGGAGTCCACAGCATCAGTGGTGAAGTACTGCGCGCAACCACTTTCGATGGGGGTGAGTCTAGATTTCAAGGGGCACTTGGCTTCAGAGATGCAAATGAAATTGATTGATTCTTGCAGAGGCTGAGATCAGTCGTCCCTCCATTATAAAATTTCCGGTGTTGGAGGGAAGGGGGTTGGGACTAAAATGCTTAAGTGCTCGCTGTCGTCAAGTGGCAGATCAATACGCGGTCCCTTAGAGAGAGCAGCCCAAGGCTCTAATAATGGGATATTAGCCCAGTTTGTTCCTGTTCTTTTCAGTGTATGCTGAGTTTGGAGCTGTGTTCACATCAATAAATGGTGACATTTAGGAACATTTTTTTTAAGATTTGCTCTCAGAAGCAGTATGCTTTTCAAAACGGCAGCCAGGCACAGTGAGGGCTCTCCCTGAGTCACCAGAAATGGTAGGTGGAAGTTCAGCCACTGAGAAAAATTGCCTATGACTCATTTCTAAGCCAGTTAGCAAGGGGGAGGAAGCAAGGGAAGCAACTTGTGAATCTGAAATGTGTTTGGAATGGTCTTTCTAATCTTTTTGGCTTTATAAAGTCTCATTATAAACATTATAATATCATTACCTCCCAAGCAAGTGTTCCAGGTCATTAGCAGAGCACTTTAAGTGTGGAACCCATTTCCCTTTGTGGTGCCAAAGGTCGACACCTTTTGTTTATAAAATAGAATGGATCACAAGGACAATTTTTCAACTAGTTAAGATGGGTTCTTATGATAAAAATAGGTCTTTGCATAGTTATTTCTGACATGCTTGAATAATTGTGTAATTTAACGCCAAGCAAGATTTTTTTCCTAATGTTAGATTTCATCATTACCTATGGTAATCAACATTCAAAATCATTTACATAATGACAATATTGCATTATTGCTTCATATTGCTTGAGTTACAAGCTAGTAACATCAAATGATTTTTTACATTCCACCAGCCTCAGCCTCAATGTATTTGAGTTTTATTTTTTGCTTAAGGAGCAAATTTTCTTTCCTTTTTTTTTCCCTGGGAGGTATGGAGTGAAGGAATGGGAAAAGGAGACAAATAATAGATATGTGTTAGTGCTGCAGATGGGTGAATAATTTATCATCATATCCCACTGGTCACATAGTATTGAAGATTAGCACTATGCTGGTGGTATAAAGCATTTTACCACCAATTCTTACGGTTTCTAACTGAGAGTATAATAAGCCAATTTACAGAGGACTACAGACTGTGATAACTTCATCAGAGAAAAGCAGATAAGCAACGAACCTTTTGCTAAACCTAAATACTAATCTGCATTGAGTTTAACAAGTGCTTTTTCAGAGACAGCTGGAGTTTATTCAGTTTCTTCCTTTAATTCTAGAGCCTCAGGGCATGCTTCCTCCAGAGGTTGTCATCATCAACAGTACAGCTGTATGTGTCATCTGGACATCTCCTTCAAACCCAAATGGTGTTGTCACTGAATATTCTGTCTATGTAAATAATAAGCTCTACAAGACTGGAATGAATGTGCCTGGGTCTTTCATTCTGAGAGACCTGTCTCCCTTCACTATCTATGACATCCAGGTTAGAACACTGTTTTTTGATGGTTAAGCTTATAAATATGTTAAATAAAACATGCTGGGCTCTGTCTCTAAGTGGACACCTTTGGTCTTGGTTACAGATTATTTATATACTGGGGAGGGGAGAGAAAAGAGAGAAAATGATTAGGATTAAATCTATTTGCTGTGGGCCAACATATGAGTCTCTGGAGAGAAGATAATGGTAATATGGAAAACAGTGGTGATGATATTCTCATAAGCAAAATGGGGCAAGTCATATATTGGCAGGAAATCTTCCTATGCAGTTTACCTTTGTCCTGCCTGGTTCTTTTACTGATATCAAAAGCAGAATCAGCCTGTGAATGTGGAGACATTTTTTTCTCCCTATTTCTGCTATTTGTTAATTTAATAGCTCCAAGAAAGTTACATAACCTGTTTGGTGTCAATTATCTTTTTTGTAAGGACAATGGACTCCATGACTTAAAACATTCTATCCACCTCTAGCATTCTGTGATTCAGAAGGCAGCAAGAAAACAGAAATGAATATATGGCAGACAAAATATATTAAAGGGTTTTATCACATGTGTGGCAACCCTCACCTACATAAGAAGAGTTGTATTTAAATTTTTTTGCCCTTGAACCTCTTTGAGAATCTGATGATGTCAGTGGAAAAACTGCCTGGAAAAACATGTATGTATTTATCTGACAGAAGTTAGCGTGCAATTTCAGAGTGCATTGACCATGTGAGGCCCAACTCTCATAGACCTCTTTGAGATCTACTGACCTTCAAAATAGAAAAAAATGTAGAGACAACTAAGGCATTTACAATAAGGAACTTTTCCCCAAGGGGTTGGAAATCTTATTACAGTACTGGGATGTAAAAGATAACAAGGCCAAATGTGGAAATTAATGATAAAAACAGAGTGTTTCAGAAACTCAAAGCTTATAGAGGAGGGTGGCAGTTTAGTAAATTTTTAAGGAAACTGTGCTACTTCTAACATTCATAAGAGCTTTGTAAATAATTTTCAAAAGATATTAAGCATAGATATTTTCTTTGACCACAGAAACTTTTCACTGGCTTTGTCCATTAAGTGCTACCTCATTTATTTTCCCAGCCCCTTCTTTCCCCCACATTTGAAGGTGAAACATACACAATCATCTAGCTACAACCAATGCTTTAGCCTCTCCCACTGCTAGGCCTGGCTTCTTCAGAAAACAAAATTAAAAGATATTTGATAAAAGAAGAAAGATATGTTGATTATTTTCTTTTACATTCTGTGATTTCCATGAACCCACCTGAGTTACCTTAGCATGGAATATGTAGACTGATGCTTATGTTCACGGTTTTTAGAGTGAGTCCGTATGTGCCTGCACATCATAGGTCAAATTATAAAATAAAAATCACAATCAAAATAATTAGCCATATAACTTTATGAACAGAGTTAGTTTAGGAAGGTAATGGAGGATTTGCTGGATTATTCTCTTTTGGGCCCTCATGGAGAAAGCTGACTGAGTCCTCAAAAGGCAACTTATTCATTTACTTTACCAGGACTCAAAATACAATGTAAGATAAGATCACTGGGTGCTATGCATGCACGTCCTGATCCAGCGTTCTGACTATATAGCAAGAGTTGATGTGTAAGTGTTTCAGGTATGTTATACTATGAAAGGCTTCATTCATACCTACTGGTTTGAGTCACTAGTGACCTGAGGAAAATGCATTTCTGATCAGATTTGGGACATGGAAAAAGATGAGACAAAAGACCAAATTAGAATCTAATACTTAAATTGTGTTATTAGGAACTAAGATGTTCTTACTCTTGATAACTGTATTTTTGTGAAGCTCTTCGCAGTGCAGGAATACTGGTTGAAATAGTTGTTGCATCACTGAAATTTGAATATCAAATTCCAACAATTTTCATTTACGGTGTCAAAGATGATTTGGCCCCATTTAAAATATGCATCTAATTGATATGCCTAATACTTTAGAATTAAGGCTCTCTGTGTTAACCCCCTCTGCAAAAAAGCTATTGACTATAAAGCAGACATAAATGCCAATGCAAATATTTACTTTTTTTAATGAATTCCTTTTTTGAAATAATAATTTCAATTTTCAATTCAATTTTATTTTTAATGTGAATCTGTAAACCTTTATATTTGTGTTTCATTCACATTATGCAATATAGCTGTAGCAGCAGAAACCTGCCCCAAAGATGAACACTTGGAATATTACATTAGTAAGAATGTGAAAAATATTGACACATTTCTCCACAGTCAAAATAAAAGCTTTCTGGAGAACCATTTGAATATAGCTAAGTAGTTTAGAACTTAAAGCTTTGTTTAATATTTAGATAAGACAATAGGGTAAGTAAAACCCAGATCAGATATCTCTTATCTTACCAACTTGATCATATTCCCTGATTTCTGTAACCCCCAGTTTACAAACTAATGAAAATGGATGTGTGACATGACCTCACTGATATGAGGAATTCTTAATCTCAGGAAACAAACTGAGTGTTACTGGAGTGGTTGGGGGTGGGAGGGATGGGGTGGCTGGGTGATAGACATTGGGGAGGGTATGTGCTACGGTGAGCGCTGTGAATTGTGCAAGACTGTTGAATCACAGATCTGTACTTCTGAAACAAATAACGCAACATATTTTAAGAAAAAAGAAAAAGAAGAAGATAACAGGAGAGGAAGAAAAGGGGAGTATGTCAGAGGGGGAGACAAACCATGAGAAATGATGGACTCTGAAAAACAAACTGAGGGTTCTAGAGGGGAGGGGGGGAGGGGGATGGGTTATCCTGGTGATGGGTATTGAGGAGGACACGTTCTGCATGGAGCACTGGGTGTTATGAACAAACAATGAATCATGGAACACTGCACCAAAAACTAATGATGTAATATATGGTGATTAACATAACAATAAAAAAAATAAAAAAAAAAGAAAATGGATATGTGAGGCCTCAATAAAATTATTTGTGCCAATACCCATTATAAAACTGGGCACACATTATTTATATAATAAATTCAGTTGAATTGATTTTGAATTATCTCATTATGCACCATATAGTCAAATATTTCCCAATATGCATGAAGTTCTACTGTCATTAATCCAAATATATTTTAAGTTCCTTTGCCTTTAAATTATTTGGGGTTTCATGGGACATACCCAGAATGGAGGACCTTGACAGTGTCCAAATATCTACAAAACATTACCTCAAAAGACTGTATGGTGTAAATAAAATATCTACAAAACATTACCTCAAAAGACTGTATGGTGTAAATAAAGAACACAACTTAAACAGCATCATAAAAATGTACCTCAACTCCTATTTAGGTGTAAAGTGCCCCATGAATAAAATGACATAACTACTAAATACAGTTAAGAATCGCATTTGTCTTTTCTCAGTTGCCAGTGGAAATTTAGAGAACTGCTTCACTCAATTCTCTGTGCTAACATCTAAGCTCAGCATTAGTGTTTAAGATTCATCTGTATCCAGCTTCCCTCCTCCATTTATGTATTAGATGCTGAAAGGAAGTTAGTGTTGGAAAAAGTACAGTTTCTCTTTGGCTTACCCTTTCATTGGGAACAGAATGATGATGTCACTTTGTGGATGTTCCACTACTGCTCTTTTGTATATTCATTCATCTCTCCTCCCTCTTGCGGCATGTGTTCTTTTATGTTACTAATGCTTGATGAACTCCATTTCTGATCTTTAGTTACTCCACCCTCCTCTGTTTTTATTCAGATTAGGTGGCAGAATTAAAGGGGTAAATGATGATTTTCTGCTGTGATTAAGGTAAAAATACAATTGCAGCTGGAACAAATGAATATAAAATAGCTCAGCCACATTGAAAGGCTTCTCTAGGCCTCATTTTTCTTCTATTCCACATTAGCATTTAGGCTATTCATTGTAAAGTGTCAAGACTTCCGGGAGATATCAGCATTACACTACCTGGGTGTAGATCTAGAGAGCAGTATGCCGTGATAACCTATTCTGCTTGCAAACTCACCTAATCATCTTCCATTCCTCAACTGTGCTCCAAATAGGTTACTATGTCTGTCTCTTTCTGAATGGTTGGAACCAGAGGCTAGACATCCCCATTTTAATCACTAAATCAGTTGTCTTGAGCTCATTTCTATATTCTATGCTGAGTTCATTCCAGTGGAGTCAATTAACATAAAAAAATAATATTAATAGAACTCCAAGAAGCTGTGGAGAACTATTGCAGAGTCCTGTGGATGGGCGATGAGGATGGGTGGATTTGATCCATTGGCAGTCTATGTTTTGAAAATAATTGGATTTATTCTTTTGTAAACTAATGTTTGCAGGTTGAAGTCTGCACCAAATATGCCTGTGTGAAAAGTAATGGAACCCAAATCACCACTGTAGAAGATACCCCAAGTGATATACCAACACCCACAATTCATGGCATCACTTCAAGGTAAAATTTTTTGCCAGTTAATCTAAAGAGCTGATCATAAACAATGAAAGTTAAAATCAAAGATTTCATCCCAGCAATGACAATATCATTTAAAAAGTTGACATAAAAATCTGTGTAAATCAAGGGGCACTTGGGTGGCTCAGTCAGTTAGGCATCAGACTCTTGATTTCGGCTCAGGTCATGGTTTTAGGGTTGTGAGATTGAGCCCTGTGTTGGGCTCTGCACTGGGCGTGGAGCCTACTTAAGATTCTCTTTCTCTCCCTCTGCCTCTTACCCCCCCACCCAAAAAAATCTGTAAATCAAAATTTTTGTATAATTAGGTGTTGATCTTCACCAGACATATCATCTAAGTTTTAATGTCCCTGATTTTCCAGATTTACTTCTCTTTATTTAGTAACCTGTGAACAAATGCTTAAATGCACGAAAGATTTTCTGTATTTAAATGTGGCCTTAAGTGAATCCTTTGGTAATGCAAAGAATATAACTTTAATTAGATTAACTACCTTCTAAATTAATCTCTTTGAAAAAAACAGATTTACATATATCAGATTGCACTAAAGCTAGAAACATCTATAAAAAAAGAGGGGAGATAATCTTTGGATAACTGTTACCAACTTTATCAGATTCTTGGTAGGATCTCCATTTGTTGCTGAGAAATGGCCATAGTTTGAAAGTGAGTCTCTTTTCAATTCAAGTTACAATACTAGTAATAAAATGATCTAACATCAAGTTTCCCAAATCAAAAGTGAGATGAAAATTTTCTTCCCTCTATATCAGTCTGAGGCTAGAGAAAGAAATTTGAGTGCTCCCACATCATACTTTTTCCCCCGCCAAATGTATCACCCTTCACCTTTACACATACACACACACACATCCCACATACACACACTGACCAAAAAAATCAATCTGTTATAAGAGATTTCATTTCTGAAGGATTTCTTTGCAACATATTAACCTTTCTAGGTCTTTTTAAAAATCCATTTAAAAATACCTGTACTAGAACTAAAGATTAAAATAATTAGAAAAACCCAAGTAATTGAATGCTTAGCTGCTCAGGGCAAAAATCTTATCTTGTCTCCTTGAATACATCTTTTATCCAACACACGATAGATACTTACCTAATTTCAGATGTGCTAATTAATTGATAAACCTGTCAGCAGATTTTCCCTACTTATCCACAGAATTGCCTACTCTGCAGAGGCAAAATAGTCAAATGAAAAAGGTACTAGCAGATACATTTGTGGCTATAATTATATAAAAAGAAAAAGTAATACAAAAAAATGTATAAGGCATGATTTTAAATTTTCAAAGTTCCAGTCCACTGTAGAGACACTGCCCTAAAACAAATGTTTATAGAATAATGTGAAGCACACTACAACATATGTTTATAATATGCAGGAAAAACGTAGAGAAAAACACCAAACTCTACCCAGGATTATCAGTGAAGGCATCATGAAAGATGCAACATTTGAGTCCAGTCAAAGAACTCAAGAAAGAATTATAGTTAGGTGGGTGGATATTGTCAAATTTCTTGTCTGTTAGCATCCTCATGACTCAAGCCCAGGTGAATGGCATAAAGAATGTGTCTTAGGGCACTTGGGTGGCTCAGTTGGTTAAGCGACTGCCTTCGGCTCAGGTCATGATCCTGGAGTCCTGGGATTGAGTCCCGCATCGGGCTCCCTGCTCGGCGGGGAGTCTGCTTCTCCCTCTGACCCTCCCCCATCTAATTGTTCTCTCTGTCTCATTCTTTCTCTCTCAAATAAATAAAGTCTTTTTTAAAAAAAAAGAATATGTCTTAAATTACATATTCAGGTGTAGCTAAAAATCTGTAAGCATTATTAGAAATTAAACAAATGCTCATATGTGTCTGTTTCTAGGATACTTTTTTCCTTTAAAAAGATTCCTACAGATAATAGCAGAAGAAAAGTATTTTTTAGTTATGGTTAAAGTTTATCCTCAAATTTACTAAGTTGATGGCAAAAACGCTAAAAAGGGTGTTATACAACAAGAGCAAGAAAATGACATAGCAGACCAACAGAAGAGAGATTTCAACACAATTTTGGAAGCAGTATTTGGCAAGGAGAAGCAAATGACTTAGTGCAGTGGAGAACATTTTACAACAAAGTGTTGTTTGGTAGAGGGAGATAATGACACAAAACAAACTAATTTGCCCTACAGGGAACCTCAGTGTCTGAGCACTTACAAACTTTAAAGATAGTAAAGAAGCGGAAGATGGGTTAAGGTTCAAAGGTGGAATCATGGGATTAGTAAAAGTCTGAAAAAAAGTGGTTGGAACCTGTAATTAGTCAGGATTCTCCAGAGAAACAGAACCTCAAACTGAAGACCCCGGGAAAGCTGTAGTCTCTCAAAGGTTTGAGGGGTAGGGGAGCCAATGGTGTAAGTTCCAGTTCAAAGCTGAGAGCAGAAGACTGATGTCTTAGCTCAAGGAGTCAGGCAAAGAAAGGGAATTTCCCCTTCCTCAACCTTTCTGTTCTAGTCAGGCCCTCAACTGATTGGGTAATGCCCACCTATATGGGGTAGGCAATCTGCTTAACCAAGTCCACCATTTCAAATGCTAATCTCCTCAGAAACAACCTCACAGATATACCCAGAAATAATGTTTATCCAAATATCTGGGCACCTTGTGGCTCAGTCAAGTTGATGCATAAAATTAACCATCAAAAAATTCAAGGTTCCTCACCACAATATTATGCAGGCAGATGTCTGCTTCTCTTGCTCCATCTGGCATATTCCACTCCCAGGAGACCAGAATTGTATTCTCTGGAGAAACAAACAGAGATTCCTAGGAATTAAGGCTACCTAGGTACAGTGGAAACCTGGGATTTTTAGCAAAGCTAAAACTCATGATCAAGTGGAAGACTACAATTGGACTGATGAAAGCCTTCTTTGCCTTCCCTGGCACTGTTCTCAAAAACAAATATTGTGAGAAGAATGTTGAAAGCTCCAAATATAATTGTGGGCTTATCTATTTCTTTTTTAGAACTATCAGTTTTTAGCCCCATGTATTTTGATGCTTTATTATTAGGTGCATACACGTTCAGGATTGCTATGTCTTGGTAAATTGATTCTTTCATCATTGTGTAATATCCTTTTCCTTTCCTGATAATTTTCTCATCATCAAGCATAGTTTGTCTGATACTCATATAGCTACTTCAGCTTTTTTTTGACTTGTGTAATTTTGAGTGATTTTGGGTTGTTTCCTGGACATTTTAAATATTAGTATGATCATTTGAGTCCTGTTAAAAATTTGGAGGTTGAAGTTTTAGTTTGTTTCATTTAGCAGGTAATCATCTGGTTAGCTTCAGAATGCAAATTCTGTCTTGCCTTGTGTGCTCAGTGGTTCCAATTTCAGTTCATTTTTCAAAAGTTTTGCTATGCTGCTTCGTGTCTGCTCCATGCATGCACTTTTCAGTGGCTAATCTGGTATTTGTTTGGGGATTATGTAATGGTTCAGGTCTCAAAGTCTTTGCTGTGATGCTCAGATTTCCTCTGCATGGGAAGCAACCAGGCACATATAGTTTGGAGTTGAGTCAGGACTTGTGTTGGTTCATACACAGAATTAGAAGATCAGCTAGCTTTCTCTTCTCTGGGATTTCTCCCACATTTTTCAGATCCCTGTACTTCCTCTGTGGGATTGGCTAGATAAGAAGACATGGTTTCTCTTGGAACTTTAGCTTTCCAAGTTATCTTACATTTTATATAAATGAGGCTGTGTTGGGGGCAATAAGATGAGAGAAAATAGAAGGAAATACAGGGATACCCTCTCACACACTATTTTTGGACCACAGGGGCCCCTTTTTCCTGGTTCCTGTGGTCAGAAAGAGATTTTTCTTGGGATTTTAGATTCTCATTTGACCAGGACTGCTATAGTACAGCTCCTTGACTAGAATCATCCTCAGACCAGGGTCCAGAGGAAAAAAAAGAAAAAACAAAACAGGGATTTCCCTCACACCCTCTGAGTTGTAAGGCCTTTTTGTACTCTGGCCAGAAAGATAGGGTTTCTCACATAGGTTTTTCTTGCCCAGTGCACAGTTCCACACTGGGGCTGCTCTTGGGTTAAAATGGGAAATGAAAGAGGGGAAACTATGACAAATTCATCCTTATATACTTGCTTTTTTTTTTTTTCCCAAGTTTTGGCTCCCCTCCTGATCTGCCTCTGTTGTTAACTTTTCAGAATCCTCGGTTGGTTGCTTCTTTTAATTCCTGCACACTCTTTAGTGGTGGTCAGTCAGAGAGAAATGTTGCAATAGGTTTACTCCATATTGGTCAGCCACAGAAAGTCCCTCTCACCACACATATATTTTTTTAATTCCAATCCCTTTGGCAACCTTATTTCCTTTTTAAAAAGGATTTTATTTATTTATTTTTAGGGGAGGGGGTGGGGGCAGAGGGAGAAAGAATCTCAAGCAGACTCCCCACTGAGCAGGAGCTCTGTGCAGGGCTCAATCTCAGGATCCTGAGATCATGACCTAAGCTGAAATCAAGAGTCAGACGCTTAACTGACTGAGCCACCCAGGCGTCCCAACTTTATTTCCTTTTTGTTGTTTTTCCCTTTCTTTCATTCTTCCTTCCTTCCTTGCTTCCTTTTTTTTTGTCAAAAATCTAGAAAAAAACTTGATAGAAATCATACACAGCCAAATATTGGCAAGAAAAATCTTTCCTTTCTAAAAATGATTCATCATAGAAGAGCAACATTTTCCAAAGGCAAGACGCTAATGAGCAGCCATAGGCTGCCAAGCTCTTAATCAAAACTACACCAACACCAAAGCAGAGCCTCCTTTGTGCATGTTATTGTTTGTGTAATTTTATTAAACTTCTGGCACTGTATACTTGTTAGTTATGTTTTTATTTTGGTTCAAAAAAGTCTTTCTTATATTAGCGATGGGCAAAATCAAATGAGAAATTCTTCCAGAAAAATGTCAGTAGACTGAGTTAACTTCAATAGCACTTAAAATGATTTGGTTTCTTTTTTTTTAATT